ACTATATCATATAAAAAGTTTTAGTCTGAAATCACAATGTGAAAAATCACATTAAGTGCGTCATATCCCGGTATGACGAGCTAGGGTTAAAGGAATGTTATTATAGCAAATACTCAAATTGGTGTCCCTCTGCAGTCTGACAATATGTTAGACTATTAAGAGTGCATTTCTACAAAATTTACAGGATATCATTCTAAATTCATTTTATGGATTTGATCCTGCTGGTCATTCAATGTAACCTCTTCTTCCTATCCACTTATTCGGAAAAACTTTATTCAGATAATGACGTAGTCGTAAACCGTAGTCAGGTGGCTCCCCATTTTGCTGGTACCAAATGTCATTGAAATTTTGATGAGAGATGTTTCGAATTGGCGGAATGATTTCATCTCAATTAATTGAACTTGACCATGTTAAATTTCAATAAAAGCCCAATAATGGATCATTTAAAATTCCAGCCCATATGTTGACTTTTTGCGGATTCTGAGTATCCGCCTCGTACATCCAAATTAAAATTTTCATCGCTTCAATATCTGCAATTATGTCGATTTACATTCCTAGTTAGCTCAAAGTAGCTCCATCTGAAAAAATAATGTTGATTACAAATAAAAGATTTCTATCAATACTTAACATCATACTTTCGCAAAATTCCATGCGACAATCAAAATCATCTTCCAGTTCCTGTGCCAGTTAGATCATATATGGATGAAATTTTTTTTTTTAGAATATTATGAACTGATATAGGAGCGACGTCGTGTTATTATGCAACTTTGCAAATTGAATCGTGGATCTTCAATAAAAGATTGTAAAACATTTAATCTTTTATCAGAATTTATCGCTGCTACTAGTATATCTTGTCTATTACAAAACCTGTTTCTTCAAAACGTTGTACAGTATAAATAAATAACAATCGATTTAGATATATCATTGTCCTCAATCCTAAAAGTTTGATTGAAAAGTTCTATCATTTGTGCGTAACCTCCTACAATCACTCCATCCTCGCATCATCAAAAGGGATATACGCTCGTATTCAGTGAGCATTATAAAATATTTTAAATAAAGACTTCATAAACAAAAAGAACTATACGACGATAAGTAATTTTAGAATGAAGTATCACAAAAAAGTATACGAGCACCTCCTCAATCGTAGGTTACAGAAAAAATGAACTTGATAGGTGAAATCTCTAGCATATGTAGTCTCCAGCCTGGAAAGTGAGTGGAAAGAAGGGAGAAGGGAGGAAAAGAAAAAGAGAGAAGGAAAGGGAAGGAGGGAGGAGATAGACACAGATACCCACACATATACACGACTCATAAATCCAATCGGGTAATAATACCTTAGGTAATGCTGAAACCGGCGGTTCTGTAACTTTTAAATCTCATAACTTGAAAAGTACTGATTAAAAAGAGGCTTTATTATAGTGTTTTGAAAAGCTCTTGATATTAGCTATTAAATTCTGAAAACAAAAATAAGGTCGTTTAAAAAAATCGATTTGATCTTGATCTGACCTTGCTAGCGCTATCCAAGGTCAAACTGATAAGATTTAATAAATATATCATTTTCAACTACACAACTTTTGTATAAAACATTTTTCTTAGAAATGCTTACTTTTCAAAATATTTAAGAAGTCCGGAACTTTTGGAACACCCTGTATACACACGCGTGCGCACTGTGTGTGTGTGTGTGTGTGTG